CAGTTTAATAGTAGCAACCACATCATTGCATTTCCATATACAAGCTTATCAAACTGAAGATTGAAGAAGGAAAAATATTGTAAAAATAATATCTAAAACAAGCTAAGCTTTGGGTGAAGCCTTACTTACAAAGTCAACATAGGGACATAGAACTCTGGATTGTGGATATGGTACCCTGTTTCCCTGAAAATAAGCCCTCCCTGGATAAAAAGCCCAACTGAACTTTTGAGCGCATGCGCTAAAATAAGCCCGCCCCTGAAAATAAGACCTCCCCGAAAATATTGCAACACAGCAGCAGCCATGAGGTGATCACGTTCGTTGCCTCCTGCACCTCAAAAATAATAAGACCTCCCCGAAAATAAGGCCAAGTGTTTATTTCAGGGGGTCAAAAGAAAATAAGACCCTGTCTTATTTTGGGGGAAATATGGTAGTAAAATAACAACAAATCAATGGCATGAAACAATAAAGCTGGTTTGAAAAGAGATGTAAAATCAATGCATAAGGAACACGTAGCAAACACAATGAAAAGAGATGGCATATATTTAGAAAGCAATAGAGATGGAAATATTGTACATAGATGTATATATTGTAAAAATGAGAACGTAAAAAACAAGGAAGAATATGTATAAAATAAAGAATGGAAAATGGAAATCCCGAAATCAGAAAAAAGAATTACCAATAACAGAAAGCTGTAAAAGTGTCGTTGTGATTTTAATGTTTGGAAAATGTCAAATTAAAAAAAAAATGATGTCGGATGCAAATGTGAGCAGATAAATAGGTACCACTTCGGTGGGAAGGTCATAGCATTCTGCATGCCTTTGGCGTATAGTTGGCCACATGACTACGGAAAATGTCTCCAGACAACGCTGGCTCCCTCGGCCAAGAAATGGAGATGAGCATCGCGCCCTAGAGTGGGACACGACTGGACAGAGAAACCTTTACCGTTTACTCTAAGCCTCTTAGTTTAGACCAACCCAGTGTTTGCTACAGATACTGCACATTTTCAAGATGCGTAAAATTAGAGCTTTCTTTGGGGAGCCGCCTGTGTGCGTGGGAGGAGGGGTGTCCTGTTATTTTTCTTGAATAAATACCCAGCCTTAAATTCTTGACTTTTAGATATGCAAAGCAACAGTTAGATATGCAAAGCAACAGTTTAATCTGTCAGAGAGTACCGTTAACCTTTAAATGAGAGTCAGATTCATTATCTACCAACCTAGAATGCTAAAATCATTTTTTTAAAGTCACAACCATTATTCCTTGAAATCCCAAAGGGAAGAACATTGTGAATGGAGATGCTGTGATTATTTTTTTATAAAGCCATACATAAATTTATATTATATACATTTATTCATTGGTTGAGGGTCGGTGTTGTTGCTGGTTGTCTGTGCGGTCGATCTGAATTCTAATGGGGTTGGTAGGCTGTTTGTAGGGAGATAAATCCCAATTAAAGTAAAGATAAAAGTCCCCCTCGCACATATGTGCTAGTCGTTCCTGACTCTAGGGGGCAGTGCTCATCTCTGTTTCAAAGCCAAAGAGCTAGCGCTGTCCGAAGACATCTCTGTGGTCATGTGGCTGGCATGACTCAACGCTGAAGATTCATGGAACGCTGTTACCTTCCCACCAAAGGTGGTTCCTATTTTTTACACACTTTTAAACTGCTAGGTTGGCAGAAGCTGGGACAAGTCACGGGGAGCTCACTCCGTTACACGGCACTAGGGATTCGAACTGCTGACCTTTCTGATTGACAAGCTCAGCGTCTTAGCCACTGAGCCACCGCATCCCTTAAATCCCAATTATGTATGTAAATATAAATCCCTATTCGATTTGAACTGAACAACAGGTCTTTTTAGGGTTTTAATTCTAAATCCACTCCTCCCCATCTGATTTAACGTTGGATAGCTTTTGTGATAATATATCAATTTGGTGTAATAGGCCACCATCAGAATAATAAATCTGCAATTCTTCTATGAATAGATGGAACTGCTTTTAGAGCCCTTTATGGGCAGGTCTCAAATTTGCCTCCTAGACTTTCATTAAACAATTACTAGTCATCTCAGCTTTTGGTGGGTGATATATTTAAATGGTTATAACATCTGCTTACAAATTTTTCACTTAATAAGCTTGGCCAGGCTACCTAGTCATATTTTTATAAGCTCCCGAAAGTTGATTGAGGTGATGATGAGGTGTTAATGTAATCCTGTCTCCATCACCATCACCTGCTGGGGTATTTACATCCCTAATTAAAAGGGACAAAGCCCTGGGAGGTTTTTATTTAAAATGAAAATTAAGCCGAATAGGAACATAAAAGTTATCTCAGTAGGTGGCAAACAGAAGAGACCTCAATCAAGGAGGTCCCAACGGATGTTTTGTTTGGCTTCAGAATAGACAGCAGAGGATAAACAAATGACCTTTTTGCAAATATGAATATAGGATTTGTATTACATAAAGTATAGTATTTGTATTATATAAAGTAGGATGGCTCAAGTGGCTAAGACACTCAGCTTGTCGCTCAGAAAGGTCGGCAGGTCGGCGGTTTGAATCCCTAGCACCGCATAACGGGATGAGCTCCTGTTACCTGTAACAGCTCCTGTTACAAGTAGCTCCTGCTACTTGTTACTTGTTAAGTAGGCATTATGTCTACTTAAAATATTTATGGCATGTTCTCATAAACATCAGTTAAATTTCATAAGTATACAGACAAAGGCATAAAAACACCACTTAAAAAATTAAAAAAATTGTTAAAAAATATTAAGTGACTAAAGGGCAATGTGTTTGTAAATTTTTTTTTGGGGGGGTGAGATTGCACCTACGTGTCATTTCTTATCTGAATTTTAACACATACGTTCTTCCATATATTCCCAACATGCTTTCGAACTGCTAGGTGGGACAAGTAACAGGAGCTCACTCCGTTATGCGGCACTAGGGATTCGAACCGCCGAACTGCCGACCTTTCTGATCAACCAGCTCAGCCTCTTCGCCACTGAGCCACCACCTCCCTAACCAACAATAAAGAATGTTAATTTAGTTTCTTTGAATTAATGAATGCAATACCCCAGGTCCTCCCTTCTCCTCCTCATTTCAATCATTATGTATCATCATGTCTGACTCAATTTTTACAGCCATTCCAATTTGGAAGGGTTGCAAAAACCGGCTGACAAGGTGAAAGGATCACAGCTTCTTCTAAATTATTATTATTTTATTACTTCATAGTATAACATACAAAAAATGCAAAAACAAATAGTAGTAAAAATGGGGAGGGAAAGGCAAAGGGAAGAGTATATAGAAAAGAAGGGGGAAAGAAAGAAAAAGATATTGACTTCCAACTCCCCTTGATAGCAACAAGAAACTTCAACTTTTTACCTTTACATCATAGCATAAATTAGCCATTTCTATATCAACAAAGCTATCTAATTGGTAAAACCCAAAATCAAAGTTTCATCCCCCCCAGCCTCAATTCCAGGTAGAAACAAAAGCAACTGTGTTTTTGTCTTTTATCAAAGCAAGTCAATTTAGCCACCTCTGCTAACTCCATCAGCTTTTGCAGCCATTCTTCCCTTGTGGGGATCAAAGTGTCCTTTCATTTTTGTGCATAAAGTAATTTGCTGCCGTCAACATACATCACATCAAAAGTTCCGAAGTCTTTTTCCATTAAACCCAAAAGAAAAGTTTCTGGTTTTTGTCTTTATATTCCCTTGAAGAAACTTCTGCGTTAGAATATGAATCCTATTCCAATATTTCTTGCCTTTTATCACATGTCCACAACTTCTCTTTAATTCCCAGTTTCCTTTGTTTACATCTTACCAACATTTATTGTCTCTATGTGTACATAGTAGTAGTTGTTGTTTTTTCCCCCCCTGGTGATAAAAAGGACATTTTTGTAGTCCCGCTCCGCTGAATTATTTTTATCATCCTCTTGTTTTTGCCAGATGGTGACGGGCAGACCGAACACTTGTTGCCAGCTTGTGCAGATCCAGCTTGTCAAAAAAGTGTCATCTACCTATCTAAACCGGGACTGGATGAGGTACGCTGTGCTGCTACTGTATCTTGAATTTGAACGTATAGTGTATGAAAAATGAGACAGGAACAAGGTTTGACATTATCCCAAAGGCACAGTAATGAGGGGCCGCTTTATAAAGCAGTCGTGTTTGCCGTAGCAAAGACAGACATACAGAGAGTCCTTAACTTACAGTTGAGTCCCACACGTCATGGCCATTTGTGATTCTTCCCCTCCCCCCCTTCTTTGTCAACCCTGGAGCTGACCTTTTTGACCACTTCAGTGTTGCCACACTGGAGCTGAGGGATAGGAGGTGGGGGGATTTGAGATAGAGGGAATTCTGTAGCCAAAACAAAAATATTTTCTCTTGAGAACCAAGGTCATTCTCACACCTGGTCAGAGGAAGGCAGAGTGATGCCGCCTGGCTGCCAAATCCACACTGTGATTGGACCATGTGACTTGATTGTTTTGACAAAGTAGAAAAACTTTTAATTAGGTGAAAACTGCGGGAGACTTCAGAGACATGCCAATATGATAATTCCAATGAAGGTATTCTTTGAAGAATCTACCTGCCTCGCAGTTTTGCTTGCTATGGGTTTATATGCTTGCAACCCTGACATTCTTCTTATTGTTTCCAGTGGTTTCCAGTGTTGCAGAATTTCTCAGATGGCGTAAATGTATGGGGTTTTGTTCCACATAGCAATGATCCAACCGCAGATGAAATTTCCTTTCCAATCACTCTTCATATTGGAGATTATAACATGGATGGCTATCCGGATGCCCTTGCTATACTGAAAAACACGTCAGGAAGGTACAGTATTGCCAGTACTGTAAATAGGGCTTGGGGGGGGGGGGACCTTATTGTTCCCTTTTGTTCCTTGCCATAGTTGTGCAAGCCCTTTTGTTCCTTGCCATAGTTGTGCATGCAATCTTTCTTCCACCTTAAAATATTTAAAATGTTTGTGGGGCTGCACTTCCATAATTGCCAATCCTGCAATCAGCTCCAACATCAACTTGGGAATGCTGCCTTGTAGAATTAAGATCCTTCCTTCAGCGCTTGAACAGTTTTAGAATGGGTCTGTTTCTGTGCTCCGGATGGCCTATTTCTCCTGCTGCTAAGCAGCATTTTAGAAATGGAAGTCCAGGAAGAGAAGTGCATTACGTGTTCACTGTTTTCTGCTCGCCTGTAGACGTTGTGTAAAAAAACAGATAAATTTCCATCCTGTTTTTTGCCACCTTGCACTGTATTTCTTCACTTGTTGCATAGAGAGTTAATTCTTGTGATGGTTTGGAGGACTACAGACGTTCTGTGGCCTCGTTTGTTTTCTTCCATGCCTCTTTTTTAAATATATGCCAATCGCTCCTTTTCGCTGTTAAAACTGAAGATTTTCAAATGTTAAATATTAAAGATGCAGCTTTAGTGTTAAGATTGGGACAAAAGTCAATACGACTAACAGGATTCCTGTTCCGGGGTGGGGGGGGGGGGTTTATAGCAATAGCAATAGCAGTTAGACTTATATACCGCTTCATAGGGCTTTCAGCCCTCT